ATGAAATTGCAGTTTTTGGTACTGAAGCAGCCTTCATCGGAACTTCCAACAACGCCGATTGATATTTCGGCATGGAAGATTCCGAATGTGAAGCTAGCAGATCCCCAGTTCAGTATTCCCGGAAGTGTTGATCTTGTCATCGGGAGTGAAACTTACTGGGAACTCCACACGGGACGGAAGATTTCTCTTGGTGAAGGTCTTCCGTGGGTAGTCGAAACTTCATTTGGTTGGGCGGTCACTGGTCCCGCATCTCGCTCGGCTACCTGTATACCACATTTCTGCTATCTATCTACCGCTGACGATCGTCTGGAAACTGCTCTACAAAAGTTTTGGGACATGGAGACGATTCCATCCGAGCCAGTTCGATCTGTAGAAGAAGGTCGATGTGAGGAGCTGTATTCGACAACTACTACGCGCGATTCCAAAGGAAGATATATCGTGCGTCTCCCAAGGGTTGAAGACCCTGAAAAGGTTCTCGGCGAATCCAGATCAATTGCAGATAGACGATTTCTGAGCCTGGAACGTCGACTTGAACGAGATCCCGCAACCAAGGACTCGTATCATCGGTTCATGGAGGAGTATTTACAACTTGGCCACATGAAGGAAGTGCCAGAGCCGGTTAATGACCAAAATCCACACTGCTACATTCCGCATCACGTCGTCTTTAAAGAGTCTAGCACGACCACAAAGGTCAGGGTAGTCTTCGACGCATCATGTAAGACTTCATCAGGCCACTCCTTAAACGATACCCTGCTTGTTGGACCGGTGGTTCAGCAAGACCTCTACACGATCTACATGAGGTTCCGAACACGACTCATCGCATTTGTAGCAGATGTCGAAAAGATGTACAGGCAAGTGTTGCATCATCCCGACGATCTTCCATTCCTACGTATACGGTATCGCAGACTTCCATCCGACCCCATCGCTACATTCGAATTACAGACCGTCACATACGGTACGGCTAGCGCTCCGTACCTGGCAACGAAATCACTCCAGCAGATTGCCAAGGATCATGGAGAATTGTATCCTGCTGCAGTTGATTCTGTTGTAGAAGATTTTTACGTCGACGATTTGTTATCTGGGGCTCCGGACGTAGCATCTGCCATAACCCTCCGTCGGCAAGTAAGCGCCATGCTCGGTTCCGCTGGGTTCACATTAAAGAAATGGGCATCAAACTCCCGTGAAGTTCTACAGGACGTTCCGCCAGAAGATTTGGCCATTCATTCTCTCCATGATCTCCAAGATGAACAGACAATCTCCACGCTTGGCATATTATGGGATCCGCAGGCAGACAATCTCCGTTTCAAAGTGGAAATACCCCTTCCTGCTGCTACCCTCACTAAACGCAAAGTGTTGTCATACATCGCCCAGATATTCGACCCACTAGGATTGTTGGGTCCAGTAATAACAAAGGCGAAGCTATTCATGCAGCGTCTATGGTCGTTAAAACGAGACGGAGTTTCTTGTGAGTGGGACTCCCCGCTGCCAGAAAAGCAACAACATGAATGGAAGCAGTTTCACACCACACTCCATATTCTCGGTGAAGTCCGTGTTCCTCGTCTAGTACTTTCTTCCGGAGGTGGTACTGTTCAGCGGCATTTCTTTGCCGATGCATCCACTGTCGCGTATGGTGCATGCTGTTACGTACGTTCGGAATCTGCGAATGGAATTCACGTACATTTGTTGACGTCAAAGTCAAAGGTAGCACCACTGTCTACACACCACTCCATCGCCAGGCTAGAGTTGTGCGCCGCACATTTAGCCACTCAATTATATAAGAAGATCGACGCGTCGTTGAAGATCAAAGCCACCGCCAAGTTCTGGTCAGATTCCAGTACTGTTCTACAGTGGCTACGTGCCTCTCCAAATCGATGGAAGACATTCGTTGCTAACCGAGTGTCTAAGATCCAGACCACTACGAACATACAACACTGGAGGCACATCGCCGGTTCCGAGAATCCCGCAGATGACATTTCGCGTGGCTTAAATCCGTCGGATATCCTGAATTCATCTCGTTGGTGGAATGGTCCATCTTGGCTCGAGCTCACTTCTGATCACTGGCCAAAGACCATCATCGATCAAGAATGTTCCTCCACGGCATCTGAAGAAGGGCGCAAGGTTCCGATCGTGGCAATGGCCACTGCACAAACCAACTTCTGCGAGGATTTGTTTTCACGTTACTCTCGTTACAGAAAACTACAACGAGTAGTAGCATACTGCGGTCGCTATCTGCAGCGATTGCAGGATCGCGCACAGCTGCGTCGTTCCGGGTCGGATTCTCTTACGTTGAACATGAGCGTCCGAGATAAATCATCGTCCGTTCTACCACTGAACACTGCCGAGCTACAATACGCCGAACAACTACTCTGCCGCTTGGCACAGCGCGATAGTTTCGCTGAGGAGCTGTCAGATCTCTCAAACGGCGACCGTGTCGCCAAGTCATCAGCACTGAAATGGTTAACACCGTTCGTAGATGAAGCTGGTACCCTCCGCGTTGGTGGTCGTCTACGTAATGCCGCGCTGTCCGACGTGATCAAATATCCAATCGCGTTGTCCGCCAAACATCCGCTAGCTGCTCTGCTGGCTAGCAGTTACCACGTAAGACTACTGCACGCAGGTCCACAACTCCTGTTAGCCACTCTTCGCCAGAAGTTCTGGATCCTCGGCGGTAGAAATCTTGTCAAGTCCGTTTACCACCAATGCCACACTTGTTTCCGATCCAAGCCCACTCTAGTCCAGCAGAGCACAGCCGATCTGCCGGTATCGCGAGTTTCGCCGACGCGTCCGTTTTCCGTGTGCGGTGTCGATTATTGTGGACCATTCTACGTAAAGTCTGCAATTCGAAAGCGTGGCCCCACCAAAGTGTACGCGGCAATTTTCGTCTGCTTCTCAACCAGGGCTGTCCATATTGAGCTGGTTAGCGACTTAACAACCACTGCTTTTCTAGCTGCACTCCGTCGCCTAGTCGCCCGTCGAGGAAAGGTCGTCGAACTCCATTCCGACAATGCAACTACCTTCAAAGGTGCTTCGCATGCTCTTAACAGGATCTACCGCATGCTGAAGGTCGAAACTTCCGATCGTGAACAAATTTTCGACTGGTGTTCATCCAACGAAATCTCGTGGAAGTTCATTCCGCCCCGAGCACCACACTTCGGAGGTCTCTGGGAGGCCGCAGTCAAATCGGCGAAGATACACCTTCTGAAGGCGATCGGTAATGTCAATATAGCTTATGAAGATCTTCTGACCTTATTGGCGCAAGTCGAGATGTGTCTTAACTCTCGACCCCTCACACCAATTCCGGAGGACCCCACCGACCTTGACGTCTTGACTCCAGGACACTTCCTAGTTGGAAGTAATCTTCAAGCGGTTCCTGATTTGAATTGGAAGGAGACATCGGATAATCGCTTGAATCACTGGGAATTGACCCAGAAGCGTGTGCAGCAAATCTGGTCCCGTTGGTATCCAGAATACTTGCAACAGTTACAATCCCGTGCATCCAAGGGTTGCAATCCACCTGTCACCATTGATGTCGGTGTCATCGTCATCATCAAGGAAGACAACGTTCCACCAGCAAACTGGCCGCTGGGGAAAATCGTGAAGCTTCATCCTGGAAAAGATGGCGTCGTCCGAGTGGTGACTCTCCGCACAGCCTCATCTAAAGAAGTCGTGCGTTCCGTAGCACGAATCGCCTTACTTCCTTCGTCACAACGTACATCAATCAACTAGCCAGGTAGAGCAACCCATTATGGGAGAACTTGCTCGATGCGCACCTGCGCATTGCACAGGTAATTGCAGGTCCAAGTATATATATTTGCCTTGAATGATCTACCTGGTGTTTTTTCTTGTTCCCGGTCTACTTCGAGGAATCCACCGTCATCCCATACGTCCGTTGAATCAATCTGGGAAAAATGATCATACGGTCACCATTAAGCCAGCGAATGCGGTATAATGCAGAATCGGAGCCTCGACAGTGAATAGTTAAACGGAACGAATTTGTAAATAGTAGTATTAAGAAACATTGAAACATTCCATATTTCAAGGTGGCCGGAATGTTGGAGATAGGAATAAGATTTTGTAAATATCAATCCAATTAGTTAAGTGTTGAATTACCATTCCAAATGATACAGACTGTTATTGAATTGCGAGCAGAGAGAGGGAGAGAATTTTATATTACGATATCGACCGATAGATAGCCGATGGTCACTACCACAGTAGGAGATAAGGGACGAGCAAATTTATGTAAATAATTCAGTTACAAAATACACGTTGAAGAAAGCAGAACTTACGTCGTCTGTTTCTCTGGTCGGTCGATGACAAAGTGATCGAGTGTGCATTAAAGTCCCCCCGTAAGAAGGGACTTAGTGATCGGTGGCTCAGTTTTGGGCAGTTATTACTGCAGAGTTCGTCTCGGTGCTAGTGATCTACTAGCGAAGAAAGTCCTTCTAGTGCGGCAAGACGTCTATCGTCAACACCTATCTTGTCTGCGAGTGAAACCCACTTCTCATCGTATTCATCACCGTCCTCATCAAATCATGCTCAATACTATGAATGAAAATCTCCGCCGATTCACATTTCGTTTCGCAAATGGCGTAATACTATAGAGCCAATCTCGCTTTCTACACTATAGCAACGAGCTGGGTTATTCCCAAGACCGGCAGAAAAAGACACTATCATATGACCCTGCCTTTTGTGGTTAGTGATTCGTGAAAAAATAGGCATCGGCATAAACAAACAGTAAACTATTCTTCTACTCTGATCCACTTGCCGGTCTACGAAAGGATTGCAGGTTTTGGTCACGCGATTTTCGAACGACCGGTTCGGTGGGAGAAAATCGATTCTATGTGCTTTCTGACGTTGACCTCCCCGTTGATGTTGTTGACTGAGGGTGGATATAAGTTAGGTATTGCTTCTTTTCAGTGCTTACGAAAAAAAAACTACTACAGTTACGACTGATTCACAAAAACTAATTTTGTTTCCTTCCTGTTATTGTGTGATTTCAGATGGCGTGGCAGTATTTACAAGCTGGTTTGGCTGGACCTCACCTGTTTTCTACTATTGTATTATGTTCTCAACGTCACTTATCGACTAGCATTAGACGAAAACCAGAAGAAGTAAGTACAATAATTCAACATTCAAAAACAGTTACACGTACACATAACTGTTTTAATGCACGCATTTCTCAAATCGTTCATAATTTTCCTATCACTTCAACAGAGTTTTCGAAGACATCGCTCGCTACTGTGCCACCTATAGTAACCTAATTCCACTATCGTTCGTGCTCGGTTTCTACGTCACCATTGTGATGACCCGATGGTGGAACCAGTACACCAGTATACCATGGCCGGATCCGATAGCAGTATTCGTCAGTGCCAACATTCATGGACAGGTAAACCGTGGTACCTTTTATAGTAACATAGAGCAGAAAGCTTAAGATTGGTATTGTTTACAAGTCGAATTATAAATTACGACTATAGCTGTAAGCATGGCTGAGTACCACGCCACCAGTTCCCTCCTTTTCAAACGACAAGCACGTCATCCGCCCACTCGGAGTTCACTCAAGCAAACGTGTAGGGTAGGAGTGTATAAAACGCTCCCTCTGTATTCATACGAATCCAGGATTAATATAAATGCAAAATTGATGGGTAATCCATGTATTTTATTGCATCACACTAATTTGCAGGTTTAACAGCTTTGCCGCAAATCAATAATAATAATAATAACATATTCCTGAAAATGTATCCTTCCGATAAGCAGTTCCATGCCAAATGACGAATAGGACAAACTAGACCTTCTCCGATTTGCATGAAACTTTGCATACGCAGTTCGAAAAATTAGTGTAAATTTCCGTTGCTATAATGCACATAAATGGAGCGTCATAAATCATATAAGTTTACATTATAGATCGTGTAAATTAATGATGCAATTAATGAACTATTCCAAATATTGTATGCAACCATCCATCTTTGTAAGCAACATTTCATGCAAGTAGCTAGTTTACGTGAAAAGGAAGTTTACATGTATGAATTTTTGCATGCATGGATGTTAACATCACCATTAAAAATCAGATTTTTTTCTGTGTTTTGTTATGCGCAATGATTAATATTTTTTCTAAAATTCAGCCATTTTGGATCTTGAAAAATAATTTCAAAATGACTTTTTTGTAATTTTTCAAAAAGATGTAGCATGGAAACGGGACTCATGATCGAAATGACGTCTGAGACAAATTTGTGGAGAAATATGAATTTTTTCTGGAAAAAATATACAAAAAAATAGGTGCTTTATGTAAAATTCCAAAACAATGGTAAAAACATAAATATCTCAAAATGTCCTTTTCCGATTTTTGATTTTACTTAAAAAAAAGCTCATGAAAAAAGGAAATTGTTCGAATGTTCAAAGCTATAAACACTTAAAAACAATGAAGTAATGAAATTGGGTTGTTAGCGGAATGCTTAAATAAAACAGCAAAAAAAGGTTATCTTCCGTTTAATTCCACTTAATTAGTTTTGGTATCCATGACAGATACGTGTTTCGAGATTTTGATAAGTTCTTTAGTGGGAATGACACTGATGAAGACTGCACATTGTAGTCGAAATACGTATCTGTCATGGATACCAAAATTAATTAAGTGGTATTAAATGGAAGATAACCTTTTTTTTTTGCTGTTTTACTTTAAAATAGATAAAAATCGTAAAACAAGAACTTAAATTTTTGAACTTTTTGTTAAAATGTTTTTATGTAATTTATTCTAAGAAAACAATGAAACAGTTCAAAAAAATTACCAAAAGTTCTTGTGCCACGATTTTTGTCAGTTTTTTACAAGGGTCCGTAGTTTTGAACATTCCAAAAGTTTGCATTTTTATATTGCACATTTTGCACCAAATTAGACACCTGTGGAAAAAATAATTGCACAGTAATATTTTCGCACATGCCAGAAAATTAAAAAATCGACTTATTTGAAAGCAGTAACAGCTTTATAACATTACTCGCAAGCTACACTGTTCAATTAAAGCTCTAGAAAGCATTATGAAGCTCGATATTTAACTTTTATGACAAGTTCGAAAATATTACTGTGTACTTATTTTTAGTGCAGGAGTCTTAATCAGGTGTGAAATCCGCAATAAGCTGTTTTTTATTTATTTTTTTTTTTTCAAAAATTGGGCAAGGGCATTTTGAAATAGGGTAAATGTCGGCTTCGGCACCCAATGGCTGTTTTGGGTAATCAAAATTTAAACGTTCATTTCACTGTATTTTACCATCAAAACGCTTCGCTGAATGTATTTACACGATTCCAGAGTCTTTCAGCTTTAATCTGATTTCAGTTTTACGAATTAGCAATCCTGTTATGGCATATTTGTCGTTAAATGAAATGTATGCACTACAAAATACGGCTGATTTCATGTTGCCCATAATAGAACAGCTGGTTAACACGCAGTTCAAACGGAAAGGCTACCGAAGAAAAAGAGGCTGCCAACAATGTTTACACTCACCTGAGAAGTTTGGAGTGTCGTAAAAACGCTTTCATACAGTTTTTGACAATTCTGTCGATTGGAATGGGTAGAGAAGCAAGCAGCAGATAAATGTAAACAAGCAAATACGTCATATGTATGCGTGACGCCAAGAAAATGTTAATAGAAGCACGAACGCTGCTTGGATTGACGAGAATACGTAAATTCCCCTATATCGTTTATTTTTTATTTATTTTTTATTAAAAATAAATGGAAGACATTTTTTCCCTACAAATTTGCCTCAAGCTTCATTTTGATCAGAAATGCTGTTTCCGTGCTACTTTTTTTACATATTCAAGAATTCCAGTTTGAAAATTTTAAAAGATCCAAAATGGACGATTTTTTTACAAAAATGTGATTCATTGCCCATAATAAACAATTACGCAAAGTTTCATACAAATCGGAGAAGGTAAATTAAAAAACTTACTAAATAATACAGGGTGGCCAGTAGAGTGATGCAAAATTTGAAATTTTCGCTCCACAATACTTAAACGATTTCAAATCGGATCCTGACTAGCCTCTCAAAATTTGAACCCATTTGGTGAGAAACTGAGATGGCACAAACCATTTGAAGTTTGTATAGGAATTACTATGGTAAAACCAAGATTTTTATTCATGTCTATCTAATAATTCACCATATCGGTCTACTTCAAAAGCTTCCAACTATACTTGTAGGAAATTTTCTCAGCTACAACTTTGCTGAAACCACTTTTTGATTAAATGCAAGGATCGAAGGTTATCAATGGTTCAATGCGCTGATGTCTTATGACCATGCTCAATCAACTGCTCAGCAGGCAACATTGGTGTTTCTGGGACGTTGAATAGGACACAAAAATCATGGCTACTATGTCACACTGCAAAATACAGTGTTGCCTACAGAGCAGCTGCTTGATCATGTCATAAGTTAACCAATCTCTTATATAATTAATAACTTTTTCCTGTCTCGTTTTACAAAGAAACGATCTTGAGCAAAGTTGTAGCTGAGAAAATTTTCTATAAGAATGGCTATTGAACTGTTTCGCAGCTCAATATGGAAAAAGAATAGAAGGCAATGAACAAAAAGTTGAGATTTCCCATAGTAATTTACATGTAAACTTCAAATGGCTTGTGCGAAGTCTGTTTCTAACCAAATGAGTTGTAACTTTGGGAGGCTTATCAGGACCCGATTTGAAATCATTTAAGCACTGTCAAAAAGTCAAATTTTGCATCAGTCTAGTGGCCAGTGATTTTTCATTTTGAAATTTCCCGGTTGTTGATATTCAACAAAAAACGAAATTGCACGCATTTTTTATAACGTGGCCAACTGTAAATTTTCAGTGATTATATGTGGGAAAAATAAAAGCCAAATTACAGAAAGTATTTTCTAAAGCTATAGGAAAAATGAGTCAATTAATGTATTCAAAACAATTAATTGATCTTTCGAGATACTTTGATAAATCGAATTCTACCACTTTTTATGCTCGATACATCTTATGATTTCAAAGCCCTAGAATTTATTGAGTGACAGAGATTAAGGTCACTGGACCAAATGCTATCTGGATGAATAGGTTATAAGACAGAATTGTGAAGAATAAGAGATTTAATTAAAACAATGTTTCAGAAAAATTAACTTGATACAAATGAGAATTAGAGCAAATTGATAGTGATAGCGGATACAGAAAATGTGTATTCACTCCATTGTCTATACTAACTAACATAAACATTAACCTTTCAGTACTCGCGCTGATGTACAAAACTGAACACGAAAAAAAAAATGTGAAACCTACTGACGTTTGAGCTCGCTCAACGTGAAACTAAACATGGTTCATGAAATTTAATACCCACGACCAATAGACCAATACCTGGAAAAAATAAATTACTGAAAGATTATTTACTAAAAATATAGATTCCCAAGATTATGGAGCTTTGAAATTTGTGTAGAGTCTGAAAATAAAACTTTTCTTCAAAATTTGGGATTAATAACAATCTTCGTGATGCAAGATTTGGAGAAAAAAAAAGTTAAAATGTGAGTGTTTAAAAATTTTCCAAGATCACAGATTTGAAAAAAAATATCATATTTATTATAATAGTCATAATTTTCAAGGCTCTGAGACTTGGAAGCATTTTAAGGGTTAAAACAAATTACAGAACAATCGATAGAATCTTGAGGAGGATTCCCACATAGTTGTCGAAGGAGCAGTTCTGAGCAGAATTCCAGAATTATTCTGATATGAAGTCCTTAGAAATTGTTAGAAGAAGTTGGAGGGATTTCTGTGGAGAAGATTTCAAGTTCTAAATTAAATTATCTAATCTAAATTGAAGAATCCCTAGAGAATCATGATGAAAATTCAATAAGACACAGAGTTCTAAGAGTATTCTGGCTATTATTTCAACCCTAGTGTGAAAGATTCATCAAAGAGCTCCAACAAAATTTATTGCAAAAAAATGCTAATAATTAGAAAGAAATTCTTTAAAATACTCCAAGGCGTTTCTAGATAATTCCAAATTTCGAAAGATTTATGCTGTTTTGAATAAAGTTAAAAGAAAATTTTGAAAAGGATTTCAATGAAATCAAAGTCTCCGAAAAAGGTTTAAGGGAATTCTAAGACGAATTCCAAACAATTCCGTTTTCCATCCGTTTCAAGGAAATTCCAAAAAGAATTCAACGGTAATTATTACGCAGAGTTTTTTCTGGTTAATTTTAGAAGAATTCAAAGCAGAATTCCAAGTGCATTCCAAGAAATTCATTTCATGAGAATTTTGAATAAAATTAAAACCCCGGAAAAGAATAGTTCACCCAACAAACAATTTGAGTTGATTAACAGCTGAATAAGCATTTTTTTTAGCTAAAGAAGCTTATTTTTGCCTGAATAAGCTCTTATTAACCATTCATTGTTTGTTA